TGCCCTGGGGAAAGCGTGCCATTTTAAGTGGAAAACAAGTGGTGAATACTGGTTATGCTGACCTTTTTTTTTTCGGATCTGGATTTTCTGCACCTTTTTTTATAGTAAGATCCCAAAACTGCGTAAGAATTAAGGATGCTTTAAATCATCCACTTAACAGATGTGAAGAATGTTTTAGGAGGTGCAGTCTTCAGAAATGGGTCAAACTCATTAACTCATGCAGCATACTAGGTATGTTTGTAAATAAATGAATGCCATGAATGCATAATGCCTCCTCTTTGAAATAATGTGGTAGTAACTGAACATGAGGTTATTTGCTATTTGGGTAATTCTCCAGTATTAATTTTTGAATCAAGAACTGTATATGATTTAGCTTGCTTCATAGTTTTAAATTTTGAGATTTTGTTTTTGATTCCTAGGTCAGGACCTTGTTGGTAATTTGTTATAAAAGTGAAAAAGCAAATTTGACTGTGGTTGCCCTATAATAACTATTTTAATTTTAAGGGAGGGAAAACTTTCAGTTTTTCCCTTTACTTTGCAGGAACAGTTGGTTTTTCTCCCTTTGTAATAACCAGGAAGAAACCAATTGTGTATACTGATTGAAATTATTAGTCAGGCATTTAGGGGACTTCATTTTTTTATCTAGACCTGTAGCCTAAAGCTGAAAATTCTGCCTCAGTAATTGTCCTGCTGGCCAGAAGTAAGTCTTGTTTAGAGTGAATAAAAGAAAACAGAATGTCACAACATATAATACATAATTGAGGACATGGTCCCAACTTATTCTGGAGCTTCAACTATAATATACCCTATATTCGTGGTGGTGAACATATGGCGTGTGTGCTGTAGTGGGCTGGTTTTTTATTTTTTTGGTACTGGGTATTGAACTTGGATCCTTGTGCTTGCAAGGCAGGCGGCGGAACCACTGAACAAAATCCCCAGCCCTGTAGTGGGCTGTTTTAATACTGAAAGCTCTAAAAGGTTCACCACACTACCCTAGATATTAGATAAAAGATGGCTCTGATTTGTGATTTTTATCAGTGAATTGAATGTATGGTTAGTGAAATGCTACTTAACACTTAAAATGTAATGACTTAGTTTCTAAGCCTTTTTAGTAGTCGGGGAAAGTAGCTACCGAGTATTTTAATCCTGATTTGTTCATGTTTGAAATATCATAGGTACTAGAAAGATATCATAAAAGAATTTGCACTTTGGGAGGCTGAGGCAGGAGGATCAAAAGAATGAGCCCATCCTTAAAAGACACAGTCTCAAAAAGGGCAGGGCCAGGTCACTGGGGATATAGCTCAGTGTGACGGCCCTGGGTTCAATGTGTAGTACAATCAATCAATCAATCAATAATAAAAATTTAAAAAGCATGCAAAGTGGAGGGCAGGCTATTTGGCCATCAGATGTTTTGGCGGGAGAGTGCTGTACTGTTTTAAAACCAACATTTAAAAACTAGAATATTCATATAAAAGTACATTTCTGGGTTCTTAGAAATTTATTGAGTAGTTCTACATCTCTTCATGGAACAAAATAGAAATGGCTGCCTAGGCCAGTCCTTGTCATAATACTAGAATTCCTCTAGGGCCCAAGAGCAAAACTGCTGATTTATTATTAGAACCACCTATTTTGATTTTTCTCTCAACTATGCACCAAAAACTATTGTTCCCATCTTTGACAGCCGTCTGGCAACTACATAAATATAGATGCAACCTTAATGTAAGCCTATCCAAATAGATCATGCATCTGTATGTCACTGTTTCTTATTTTATTATGCAATGATTAATCCAGTCTCATCCTGTGTTGAGACTTTCTATGAAACATTAAGGATTTTCTATTTCTGAAAAAAGCAGATGTAAAAATTTGAATTCATAAAGTGATTTTGAACTCTAGAATCAAAGCTTTGCTGTTAAATTATTTTTAGAAGAGATTGGGCCCATTCAGGGTGGTATCACTATAGACTGTTAAATTATTTTTAAGAGACTCTATAAAATAAGTTATGATATCATCAGCTAAGGCTGTAACATTTATCAAATACTGATTACAATATTATCTGAAAAAATAAAATGAAGACCTGTACCATTTGTATAACAACAATCTCTACCATGGTATGTGCTCTCTGAAGAATCTAAACATGATGTATTTGGCTTCAGAACACTTTAGCTTTCAATTCTTAAATAAAACCCCAAACATTCTGATTTTGTTGTTTAAAAAACTGTTTTCACTTTAATGATCTGAGTTAGTAACAAACAAATATACAAAATTGTCTTTCACATTTCCATATTTCATATTATGGACCGACTGAAAACTCTGGACTACAAATGCAGGTTTCTTTGTATCCTTAATTTCAATTACTGTCACTCATAAATAAAGGTGATTTGCAAAAACATGCATTTGTGAATACGGATGCCAAAAGTTATGCATGCAAGTTAATGTACGACCAAAAGTGTACATGTTCATTTGTGCAGTTGTGTGTCAAGGGTAACCAACACAGATGCAGTTATTCTGGATATTTCACTCTATTTGAGAAACATTTTTTGTGAAACAGATGGAAATAAGAGTTTAAAACAAAAATTATATTCTACAAATACAATAAAATAGCAACTTACACATTTGAAGCAACTTTTGGGAAAGATGCTTCAATAACCCTGCTGCTGTATAGGTTTTACAGGTATCTCTTCAGAGCCACAGGCCAGAATATGGCTGCTTTAAAGAAAATAAATACAGTATGTATATTTAGAAGAAAATTACAGTTTAAAAATGTGAAGTTTTGAAAAATAGTACTAATGCATGAGTTCACCTATATATATTTGTTTTAGAAATTTAAAGAAATTTAGAATATTAAAAGCAATCTAAAATTTTCTAAACCATTTTAAAATGATTTTTTCCATGTTACCAATGTTTCCTATTTGATAATATAACAGAAAACGGGAAGTTTCTAGTTCAACTTACTGTTGTAATTCATAAATCATTAGACATTTATGATTTCATGAGGATCAAGTAAATGGAAATTGGGTTATCCTTGAAAATGACAAGGAAGCCCCACTCTCCAACCGCTCATCTGAACTAATAATAAGCACCAACACAAAATTACTTTTTACATTAAATTATATCCAGATCTCTGTAGGTAAGAGAACCCAATTTTTAAAATATTTTCCTGGGTTGTGGCAACATGTGCTTTACCTCTTTAATTCTATCTACAACCTAAAGTTACTTCTACATTCTAAATTTCAACCCCCCTGGCAAGAAATGGAAATGCCTACCAGCTAGGTATTTATTTAACTTCATACAAAGAGAAGACTCATGTATGGTTGTCATAATAATAGCCCCACTTTTTTCTAAGGCCCGAGGTTGCTGGTTTCCTTGTGCTACATGGAACACATGAGAGATGATGATGCAACCAAACAACAGGTTATCTTGTAGGTGCATCGAAGGACTTGGCCTCCTGTATCATGAAAACACTTGTGTTATTAACATGAACACAACTGGAAACAGCTTGAGAGCAAATGCAGTTCAGAAGGAAATGGATTATTTCCTTTAGGAAATGACATTAAAGATACAAGATGTTTTCCATTGGGATTATTCTTGAAGAAAATGTGGCTATAATTTCCCAGATCTACATTAAGACGTTACCTACATGCAAGATGGCTTTCAAAAATATTTAAATAAGCAATGATTCAGGAAAGTAAGCTGGGGGGATAATTTAAAAATGCATACTCGCAACATTACCTAGGAGATGTAATTTTCTACTCTGTACTTTGGAAGTGAAAGAAACCAATTCTGTCCAGAGTCAATACTATCAGAAAAAATATGGCTGCTTCCTACTCTTTTCCACTTGCGAGTATGATTCTCCCACTGTTGATATTCTCTGCATCTCTCAAGAGTCAGGCTAAAAGCAATTGAATAGGTTACTTTTGTTTTCAAAATAAGTTTTAAAAAACTTTCAGAAATGGAACATTTAACCCTTTAGTAAAAATTCCATTATTGAGTACCTTGTCTAATGGCTAGTACAAGTAGTAAGGATTATTGCTTTTAATAAGATGACCATTAGAAATAAATATGTGAGCTTAACTCAAATCCTCAGTTTTACCCAATGCTATGTTTTACTCTCAATCAAGTAACATGTTACCTTTGATTCTTTGCCAGTTTGCTGAAGTTTTAAGCATAAGAACTTGGTCAGTTAACTCAAAACCAAGACAATAGGAATATCCATGTAAGTAAGCCTATCTTATTTGGGCAATGAGCAGTAACACTGCTTTCTTAATAGGATTTAAGGCACTAAATGGTGGTAAAATAAAAAAAGTATGATGATTAACTTCTTTAGAATCTAAAAAATGGGATAGTTTAGAATGAACTAGTAAATCTTTTTCACAAACAAATAAGGCATCCTGTTGGCAAACACAAATAAAACATGAGGTCATGTTGAACCTAATACATTCACTGTCTCTGCTAAACTATTTGAACTGCACTAGCTGTCAAACTTAAGAAAGCTACAATACTATGTATAAAGGTTGAAAAGGCACCAAAAGGAGAACTCTATCACTTCCAGTTCTACAAGTTAGGGAAGCTGTGTGTAACACTGCATATCATCTGATTATTAACTTTATTCTTCACAAATGCATCATGTACTTAGATTTTTGCTTCAACAAATCCATTAATCAAGTACTAGTTCAGTAAATTTATGAATTAGGAGATTACTGCAGTGCCTAACACAGGCCCACTTATAAAGCTAAACTAATTCTAGCACTGAATGTAAATTCTGGATAACACTGGAGCAAATCTGTATGAACAAAAAGATAATGGTTACCTCAAGATAGAATTCACAATAGAAATCTGACATATAACTAAACAGGTTTTACTGAAAACAATGAAGTGTAGTACAGATACAGAGAACATAATTATAACCACAACATTTTCCTTGTGAAAAATACAACTATTAGTAAAATAAAATGTACAATTGACAAATTTCCAAAATAAAAACAGAATAAATGAAAATACTTTTTTTTGAGATAGGGAAAATAGTATGTCACTGTTTCTTTCATCACAATATAGTTTGACACAAAAAGCACAGAATTGCACCAATTCCATATCCAGTTTCCTGAATATGTCAAAGAGTCCATAAAGCAGAATGCAGTTTCTGAATTTTACATTTAAAGTTGATGATATTCTCATACAAGATGTCACAGCACACCAGATCTGTTTACATAATGTACAATAGTTTGTTTTGTGGCTAGACTGGAATGCAAACTTTCTGCCACCTCTCTTTCACTAAGATATTTAGCCAGAGTCTGACAATCAAGTTATTTAGGTGTTATTTCTCTATCAATAAAGAAAAATTATATTTAGTGCATGCTTCATCACTTGCCAAACACTTCTGAAAATAAAACTCAGTTACGCAATGGTTTACAAAATAGAAAAATCATTCATTAGGCTAAAAATGTCATGGGATGAAGGTCCATTTCTAAGGACTGACTGCCTTGGCAGCACCTCTGTCCTTCAGCAAAGGCCCTGGTAAAGGATCCACAATGGAGGCGCATATGTGCAGGAGACCACTGCTTGACACTGATTATTTGTGACCACCCCTCACAATCTCATTAGTGCTATAAAAAGATGGGATTTGTGGAAAAACGTTAGGAACATTTCTGCTGAACATGATTTAGAAGTTCTCCAAATTTTTCAAATAGGTCCTCCACCCATTTTACATTTTTCATACAAAGTTGAACAATTTCCTCTTGTCCTAAGTCTTCATTTTTTTTCTGCACAGAAGAAATCTAAAATTAAAAAAATTGTCGCATTAGCTTACATTTATACTTAAGCCCTTCACAATCCTTTCTACATCTTGAATGGAAATATTTATCAATTCACCTATACATACTGATTTTTTTTTTATTCCCACTCATGCAGAATGATTATTTCAGATAAATTTGGATGAGGTCTAATGCTACTATCATTGGCTCCATATTGGCAGACATGAAGATTGGCAAAAGTATTTCAAACCTCCCCAATTTCTTCCAATTGTGTTAAAAGCCAAATGAAAAATATTAGGGTCTGTTTTCAGAACACTGTAAAAAAGTCAACATATTTTGCACCACCCTCTTTGCTCTTTCCTTTGATAGGGGTTAGATTTAAGAACATCTTTTCAAATCAGACTACATAACACATCATGTTTAGCCTTGAACTATCTTAACCTCCTATAAAAAGCTGCAGAGCTGGTTAAATATGCTAGTATTGAGACTTATTTGGAGGCAGTTAATTCTTATATCCCATCTACAAGGTAATACTGTTGTCATATGTAATTCCTGAGAAACTTGAAATTTATGATACCTAAAAATTATACTTAAATTTTAATTTCCATTTCTTCCTAACAAGGAACAAAACCAATTCTCTGTAAGTAAGCAGGATAAGGCTATTCAGTGATAAGACAGCAAGTTATCAAGCCAAGTCCTACTATAAAGGAGTCATTTCATTTTGGATGAAGATGAGGAGCAGTAACTGAATTGAATTAAAGCAGGATCATTCTGTTACAAGAGAATAAAATGCCATAAAGCACCATGTACTGCGGCCATGTAAAGCAAACACGAGCAGTTTAAAAACATTACCATTTATAGCTCAAGAGGCAGTAAGACACTGAAGAATCTCAGCAAAAATACAGCAGAGAAATGCAAAACAATAAATTTAGTTATTACTTATAGTAGAACATAGGACAAAACCAACTGACCAAAAAGCCCCCGCCACATATATACACATATTTTACAATTCATTTAAAACATTCACCAATCACACTTTCCTTAATGTTCACAAAATATATATATTTTTTAAATAAATGAGAAAATTACCTCATCTTTACACATCAGGTAAACATGATATTTATAATGATGGAGTGAATGGTACAAAGAATACAGCTGTATTTTCTCTGGATCAACGGCAAACTCCTATAAAAAGAAAGTTCATGGAACATCTGAACTTAGAATACTTTTGGGGAAACACTAAATCAAGTCTCATGGCAAGCAAAACAAAAACTAAAATCTCAGCTGGGAGTGGTGGCACACGCCTGTAATCCCAGCACTTGGGAGGCTGAGGCAGGAGGATCGCTGGGAGTTCGAGACCAGCCTGGGCTAGGAGTGAGTTCCAGGTCAATCTCAACTTCATAGTGAGACCGTGTCTCAATGCCCCCTCCCAAAAAAAACTAAAGTCTCATGGCAATCGTGAAAATGACTGGCATAGATATTACATTATATTAACATGCAAAGAGGCTTATTCATGAGTTCAGATTGTGTTTGAAAATCTTCATTCTTTTTCCTAAATGTAAATATGCACTATTAGAAAAAAAATTAACATTATGGAAAAATTTAAATGAAAAAATAATACAATTTGTAAAAGACTTTCTATAATATTTGCTTGAGAAATAGAAAAGGCTAGCTGGGTGTGGTAGTACCTGCTTGTAATCCCCGCACACTGGGAGGCTGAGGCAGGAAGATCTTGAGTTTGAGCCCAATCTGAGCAACTTAGTGAAAGCCCATCTCAAAATAAGAAATTAACAAAGGACTGGGGATGTAGCTCAGTGTGAAAGCCCTAGATTCAATCCCCATTACTACTACCAAAAGAGAGAGAGAGAAAAAAAGGGCAAACAGCACGTTGTATATTCTTTCATGCTTCTCCCTCAGGTATTTCATATATATAGATATTTCTACAACTTTATTTCCCTAGATTTTTTTTTTTTTTTTTTTTTTTTTTTTTTGGTACCGGGGATTGAACTCGGTTCCTTGTGCTTGCAAGGCAGGCCACCGAACCGCTGAGCTAAATCCCCGGCCCTCCCGAGCTTATTTTTTTATCTACATACTTTTATGTATTATACCAGTTCCTTCTTATCCCCCAAGATATAAATTACGCAAGAACAGGGATTTTAACTAGTTTTCAGTGTTGTATCCCATAATACTCAGACTGCATTTGGCACAAAGCACCTTTTTTTTTTTTTTTTTGAGACAGGGTCTCATTTTGTAGTTCAGGCTGGCTCTGAACTATGTAGCCCAGGTTGGCCCCAAACTCATGGCTTCCTCAGCCTCCGGAGTGCTGGTAATATAGGCGTGCGCCACCATGCCCGGCACCAATTTTTCTTTTGTTTTTTAAAGAATAAATGAATCTGTCTCTTTTCTTTTTGTGGTGCTGGGGATTGATATAGAGCCTCATATACATTAGGCAAGAACTCACTGTGCTACACCTCCAGTACCATCTCTTCATTTTAAAAAGTAAATACTAGGCTGGGGATGTAGTTCAGCGCTGGAGCACTTTCTTAGCACACATGAAGTACTGAGTATGATCATTAGCTTTTGCCCCCCAAAGTAAGTAGCATTACATTGTCTTTGTGGCTCTTCAACCTCACACTGGTGGCATATACCTGCATTGCTCTTACACACATATACGTTTTGATGCATTTATGATGTGTTTTTATAGAATACATTTTGATGGGGAACTTTTATGCTATGGAACTGTTTTCTGAAGATTGTTAACAATATATACTATGTTTGAAAATAATGGAAGATAGTCCAATGGTAATGACTGCAGATATGAAATCCATATTGACTATACAAGGTGTGCTCACTAAACAGGTAAACAGGTAATGCTTGTTAATTAGGACAAGTCAGCCATTTCACAATGTATACATAATTAAAAACGTAGTACATGATAAATATATAGCTTTGTCAATTAAAAAATAAATTTAAAACCATATGTAAGTATATAAACACAAACATGGGATGATTATTAGTTTACTTAAAAAAATCTGTGAGCACTTACTATATTCTAGATACTGTGTTAAGCACTGGAGAAAAACAATCAACAACACTGATTCCCTGTTCCTCAGGTCAGAGTTGCTTATTCCTACCCCAACAGACTTCAAACTTAATGACAAATAGTAAAATATCTGCTCATTTTTATGTTTTGGAAAAGGCACACTTTCATTAATCACTATGGACTTACCTGTGCAGATTTAGTGGTTGTTTTAGAAGTCCTCAGAGTTTTCTTATTATAAGCTTTGCCATTCATTTTGATTTTAGAAATAGCAGATCCTCCACTTTTTGCTTTAGAGTCTCGAGTAATTACTGTTAGTTCAGGAAAACTCTCCAAAGCATTCTTTAAAACAATGAAGCATAATAACTCAACCAGAAGAAAACTAAATTGTTTTCAGCTTTTCAAAATCTACATATACACATGTGCACACATTCACTACATGTGGGTGGTTACTGATGGGACATAGTAATTTATACATATGCGCACACACACACACGCGCGCGCGCACATGGGTAGAGGTGAGACAGTCACAGATTCTTTGCACTTCCTCCCATCAGATGTAGAATCTATTTATCTGCCCTTGAATCTGAGTTGCTTGTTTTTTAAGCAACAGGGATACCAGAAGAAGTTCGACAGTTCTTAATAATGCCTCTCTGGCTTCAAGGCAGGGCAGACAGGGAGCTATGTATGCTTCTTCAAACTGCTACTGAAACCACTGTTAATACCCAGCCAAGTCCTAGTATAAAGAAGTCATTTCGGGGCCAGGGATTTAGCTCAGCGGTTCGGTGGCCTGCCTTGCAAGCACAAGGACCAGAGTTCAATCCCCAGTCCAAAAAAAAAAAGAAGTCATTTCATTTTGGATGAAGATGAGGACAGAGGCCAAGAAGAAATATTCTAAGGCTTCTATTTAATCAATTCTCTTGCTTCTTTTGACCATGCAAACAGAACTTGTGTGATAAGATCCTGAAACAGCTTAATAACTTTTCTGACCAGAAAGTCACGGTAGCTACTACTAATAGTATTGTGATTGTGTGGCAGAATCAATTTAAGAAAGCCGTTAAGTTATTTATGCCTTTAACTTGTAAGTTATTCTGACATGAAAAACTACAACAAAATAACCAAATGATACTTGTAGCTTAATCTAACTAGTTTGATTAATTTCATAAAATTTTATTGAGTTACCAGCAGCATTTATTATTTTGGGCTAAAATGGTTAAAATACTCCCATATATTTATGATTCAGACTACAGTCCTTATCTGATAAGCTCAAAAGCCAGTTTTTCAAACTCATTTTCCAAGTAATAATATTGTAGTCCTGAAAATGGTGCATTTTTAAAACAGCCAACTTGAATTATTCTTAGGTATAAGTGTAACAGGGAACTAGGTATCATTTTTCATACAGTAAAACTTTTGGAGTTTCTTTCCAGAGTGTGCTATCATCAATTTCTAGCTTTGTTCTTTTCTCAAATTATTCCTTTTATCATATACTTTAGTGTTCTGCTTTTAAAATATAGCATGCTTGTATAATTTTGGACATAGAATAATTACAACAAATAGAGTTCTAAGACTAAAAATGGATTCCAAGTTTGGAAACCAATGGCCCTAAATCAGAGGAGATGAAAGAAGAAAATTTAAATCTTTGTAGGGAACACAAGAAGCTAAAGATGATATGAAGTATGTGTATTTCTGAGGGAGACAGAGTATCATTAACTGCAAAAGGCTTCAGGATTACTCCTAAAATCACCATGATCATTAGGGGCACAGTGCTATTTCTAAGAAATAGAATATCTTTCTTTATTATTTGTAATTTTTTTTTACTTCAACTCATTTAAACTTTTAATACTGCATAATTTGACTTTGACAGGCAAATTATTAGGTGAAACTCATCAAAATTAGTTACTTTACAAAATTTGAAATCTTGTTTTTTCTGTGAATAAGAATATAAATTTTTCAGTTGTTCACCATAAACTACTGCACAAGCTTTAAACATCTATTGCCAGGGCAGTGCAGGGGGAGGAGAGGAAAGGCAGGATACACTATGTACAGGTGCAAATTCCCTATGATGAGTGTTATCATCATGTAGATCTAAAATGTACCAATAAATGTTTTGTTTCCAAAAAAAGGAGAGAAAATATCTATTGAGTATTAAATTCTAACTGGTGGATTTGGTAACATAAATTATTACAAGGTTTGACATTTCTAAAATGATCAAACAAAACTGGTAAACTTTCTGGTGTTGTGCTGTTGGATGAACTCAGGGCTTGGCCACTGAGCTACAGCCTATTGAAATTGGGAATTTTTAATATTTAGTAAATTTTTTGGAAAATACATATCTACAAAAATTCCCTTGTCTCTAGACAATACTGTACTTCCTAAAATAATACTTCATTTAAAGGTAGACATTAAATATAAAACACTGGACTAGGAGCCAGCAATCAAATTCTTTGGTACAGGATTTCTTACCAGTTCTGCAAGTGTACAGTAGTAAAGAACACCAAGACTACCAGTGTCCTTTATTGTCATTTAAGTTTCACCCAGTTAAAATGAAGTCTATAGTTACTTCCACGTGCAGTTTACAAAATAGAAATGCAAGAAAGCCAGCATACACATTGTATTGATTCTACCAACAAAAAGTTTCTCAAGGCAGACATAAAAATGATTTTACATGTGATATTACACATTTTGAATAAGAAAATTTCTAATTTTTAAAAACTAAGTAGCTTCTATGATAAATCCTGAGTTTAGATTAAGTTTTTGATCTGTATTTCTGATTAACACCAAAACCAAATTTTATTGCTAAGGTACAGTATTTTATATATATATATATATATAATGTTTTTCCTTGGGTACTGGGTAAATCAAAGACACATAAAGGGAATTTTGATAACATCTATAAAAGGCTAATTTTAATTATTGAAAAAAATATAAAAATTTTTACAAAGATTCAAAAGAAAAACATGACAGGTTGAGGTAGGAGGGTCGCCACAAGTCTCAGGCCAGCCTAGGCTACAGAGTAAGTTCAAGGCCAACCCAAACTCCAGAGCAAGATCACACCTTAAAAAGACTTGAATATAGGTAGTTTAACTTTCAGAAATTATTTAGACAAAATTTTATAGAATGAATATCAGAAAAAAATAAATGCTTCAGAAATAAATTTAAATAGCAAATGATTAATGTTTAAAAGGTAAACTAAACAGACACTAACAAAAAACAAATTTTTGTCAAAGAATGACTTGACTTTTATGAATTTTTTTTCTTATCACATTTAGAACTGTGATCACCACTGAGTTTTTTTTCTCCCACCACTAAGTTTCGCTGATAAATCATCTAAAGGAAATACCTTGAATGGCTGATCTAAATGAAGATTCAAAAGAAGTCTTTTTCGATTATCATTCAGCATGCCATCTATTTTTTTCATATGAGGTAAAAGTAGCTCATCTGAAATATAATTTATTTTAAAAGGATAAATTATTAACAAATACTTGGTCAAAATTCAACTTTTTCTCAACATTTTAATGTTGAAAGACATTAAATTAATTGGCTAACGTAAAATTCTGCCCCCGCCAAAAGGTTAACTTGAAAATAGGCTCATAATAGTGAGAAAAAAAAAAAAAAAAAAAAAAGAGGCAGCTTGATAATAGGATGGCTCTGCAAATGTCCTGGGTTTTAGCTAGAATTGAATTAGAATTTGATTTTGTTTTGTTTTGGTAGTATGTACTTTTGATTGAACACAGGGCCTCTTGAATGCTAGGCACATAAGCCCTTGAAGCAGATTTTAACGGAATTAGAACCAATGGAGGGCAGCGACGTGGTGTCCAATTTCTCTAAATCTTACTTACCATCTCAATGGTAATAGTATTACAAAAATATAAACTGGTCTATACCATTTTATAAGACATTGAAGATGCCCAATTCTTTGTTTGTTTTCCTTTGCAGTGTTGGGAATTCAACCCAGGGCCTCAAGCATGCTAGTGACATTCCCAGTCTGGGATAGAGCTAAGTGGCAGAGTACTTGTCTAGCCCGTCCAAGGCCCTGGGTTCATCCTCAGAACTTTTAAAGCAATGCAAAATTAATTGTCAAAAATACATGTCTCTTATTCGAGAAGAGAGTAGAAGTATGACAGAGATTCCTACTTGAAAGTTTGTACTTTCTTTGCTTCTCTAAACTTTTAAGCTTTATGAAAGTACTTTCAAAATGTAAGTTAATTAACTGAATTAAATGCTATAGGTTATTAAACTATTTCTCCATTTATCAACATAATATATGATTTTCTTTAAAATATATAAAAAATTCTCACAGTTGAATAAAATTTTACATATTTTGAAGAAATACAAGCACAGCAACCTGGGAAAGAATGCCCCTTTAAAGGAAGAAAAAGTCCTTAGTGAGGAACAGTTTCTTTGGTTGCTGCCATATACCTTACAGTTTGATTTTATCTTTCTAGTACTAGTTAAATCTTTTCAAATACTTCATTTACATTTCATAAAAACAAGTTTGTTTGCTTTGTGGTCCTGGGGTGAAACCGAGGACATGTGCATACTAGATATAAATAAAACCAGAAGTGACTAGTAGAAAGAGATGTGCATTTCATGATGCAAATAATTTGAGAAAGAAAACACTTGATAGTAAAAAGGGGAAAATATTAATTAGTATAATCCAATGAACACAATTTTTTTTCCAACCCCACACCCATCACCCTACCACCCACATCTCTGTGCTGGGGATTAAACCCAAGGCCATATAGCCTTACTCATGCTAGGCAAGTATTCTACCACTGAGACACACCCACAGCCTCCTATCTTGTTTTAATACTATTTAATTAGAAAATAATTTCTCAGCTGGATGGGGTGGCACGCACCTGTAATTCTAGCACTCTGGGAGGCTGAAGCAAGAGACAAGTTTAAGTCCAGCCTGGACAACACAGAATCAGTGAGAGGCCCTGTGTCAAATTTAAAAACAGGCTGGAGGGGCCTAAGGATATAGCTCAGGGATGCTGCACCTGCCTAGAAAGTGCAAGATCCTAAGTTTGATTCTTGGTACTAGAAAAACAAAAACAATAAATAGCTCCATGAGAAGGTCATAGGTTCAATCTCCAATATTGCCAAGAAGAAGAGGAAGAGGAAGAGGAAGAGGGAGGAGGAGGAGGAGATGACAACAATGATGATACTTTCTCTGCAATTTATTTTTTTACTAAGGATATAAACGTACTATTTTAATTTATATACTCCTATTATCTCATCCATCTTCCCAATTATGGGAAAACAGGATATATTAACATATGGACTTTCTGTGTAATACATTTAGTAAACTACTAATGAGGATGATATAGATTGTAAAAATTAAAAGATAGAAAGGAATACTTACATAATTTCCCCATGAGTAGGAAGCAATAAAAATATATTCAATACGAAGTTGTTCTACTATTCAAACAATGCATAAAAAGATTTGACCATTTTCTAGAAGATACTATGAACATAACTAAAAAATTACAGACATATATCACACAAATTACAAGTAAAAACCCAACAGACAGAATCATTTAAAAAATTTAGAAAGTCCAACTTAGCACATCATACCATTGCTCTTCTCTAAGGCTTGCATAGTGTCTGGGTCCAAGGCAATACTAACAAGCAGTTCCATATAACTCTTGAAAGTTTCTTTCATTGCTCTTGTGTTCAAAAACCGAGTGACAAAAGGAGCTGGAGGATCAAATTCTGGGACAAAGAAAAGATGAAATATTAAAATATCCTTCCCAAGAATTTAAAACACTTTTCTCTATAACAGGAGCCAACAAGCAGGTGAAAGATTGTAAATGCAGTTTCTTCCAATTCAAGGCTTTCTCGTCATCTTTACAAAAACACCTCAAGTGACAGACTGTTTTACATTTCATAATTGCTGGAGAGCTTTTAAAATAGAAAAAAAGAGAATACACTATCAGACTTTTACAGGGATTCCCAGGACTCTACCCCTGACACTAACCCAACGTTGGAAACAAGGTCAGGTAGGAACCAGTTCCTTGCTCAGTCCACCCCATAGACCAACACATGACAACACGTCACGCATGCTGCTCTAGTCCTGATGGTTTCTGTATGTTTATTAGTAAAGAAACCATAGCCATCCAATGTATGAGGAAATATATAAATACCTTTTCTTTTTTACTTCTATACTTCAGTTACAATAGAATTCTACACTAGGACACATTAATATTTTTTTTTTTTTTGGTAGTTCAGGCTGGCCCTAAACTCACTATGTAGCCTAGGCTGGTCTTGAACTCACTGTGATCCTCCTGTCTCAGTCTCCCAAGTACTGGGATTAAAAGCATGCACCACCATGCCTGACATAATACAATTTTTTAATGTAAAAGACCATAAAGGAAACTTCACTTAGATTCAGTACAAGAACTACAAGACCATCTGCCTCATGTTTGACTTGTTTTGCATCCAGTCATCACAGTATTATTGAGCTTTCTACAAGCAGTTCTAAGAGTATGGTCCATAGATTTCTCTCAGTGGTTTCCAATGTTAAGACTTTTCATAATAATACTGAGATGTTATGTATTCTTTTCACTGTGTTGATATCTGCAAAAGTACTAATGGGTAAAACTGCTGGATTTTTACTTAGCATGAATAAAAGCAGTGACAATAATCTATACTTTGTCAGGTCATTACCCATACATTAACGGGAGAAAAAAAGCTAGTTTCACTTAAGAATACTCCTTGATGAAACAACAAAAATTAGTATTTCAAGGGGAGCCATGGTGGTGCACATCTGTAATCCCAGCCCTCGAGAGTGAAGCAGGAGAGTTTGAGGTCAGCCTGAATTACACAGCCAGATCCTGCCTCAAACAAAACAAAATTATTATTTTCATTAAATCTCCACTCTTCAATGTGTTTTAAATATTCTGTATGATAATATGGAAGAAATACAGAAAACATTTCTGATATACACACAATTACCTGAGTTATGAAATAAACTTTTCCCCCTAAAATACCATTTGTATTTGAAAGAATGACAGATATTCTGCTTATTCTGACATGAATATTTGGCAAGTATTTTATTTAAAAGTAATGACGTAAACCTGTTATTTCAAAGAACACAATCAACAATATTTATTGCCAATCATAAAAGCTGATTCCAAATAAAAATTGGGATTCTGGAAAACTTGTATCCCCTACTGTAAAATGGACAGCTTTTCAATACTTAAAGACTTCTAATGAGATCGGTAATGGAATTAATGAACTATATATTCTAAATATAAAGACCTAAAACCATACAATTTTTGAAGAAAATATAGGGATAAATCTTCATTATCTTGGACTTGGCAAGAGAGTCTAATAATGACATTAAAAGCACAAGAAACAAAAGAAAAATAGATAAATTGGAACTATAGAATGGAAGGAAATATTTTAAAATTGTATCTGAGTTTAAAATCTAGAATATATAAAAAAGTCCTACAACTAAACAACAAAAAGACCAACAACCTATCTTCCAAAGATACAAAAATAGTCCAATAAGCACCTGGAAAAATGCTCAAAATTATTAAATGCAAAGTAAAACTACATTGTGATACTACACTTAATAGGATGAAGATACACACACACACACACACACACACACACACACACACACACACACCCCCCAAGATATGTATGTGTGTATGTATGTATTATCTAAGGCTGAAAATATGTATGTATACATGCTAGGATATGGAAAAGAACTTTGTTAGGGATGTAAAATGGTGTAACCACTGTGGAAAATAATTTGATGTTTCCTCAAAAAGCTCAACATTTAATTTCTATATAGTTCAGTAAGTCAGACTCTGTAGTGTATACCCAGAGAACTGAAAAAGAGAACTCATATAAATGTATACCAGTGTTCATTAAACAAATTATTTATAATACCTTTAAACTGGAAACAACCTAAGTGTCCAACAGATGAATGGACAGACAAAATGTGGCATAAACATATAATAAAATATTATTTGGCCATAAAAAACATGGCAATCTGCTACATGCTGCAATATGGATGAATCTTGGAAACATTATGACAAGGCAAAGAAGCCAGATTCAAAGGGCCAAACGATATGAGTCATGTGTATGGGAGAATTCATAGGATAAAAAAGTAGATTGTGGGTTACCAGCAGCAGTCAGCAGGGGAGAATGGAGTTACTGCTTAGCTGCTAGAGTTTCTGTTTGGGAAGATAAAACTTTTTAAAAAGGTAGTAGTGCTAGTTGTACAACAGTGTGGATGTAATTAATGCTACTGAATTGTATACTTACACTTAAAGATGGTTTTAAAATGCCAAACTTTATATCATATATATTTGACCATAACTTTTTTATTTTTATTTTCCCTCATTGAGTTTATTGGTACATTTTAGGGATACAGTACAGTTACATTCATCATTGGGATCTTGTACCTTTACATGATAGATCTTGGTTCTCATTTTTTCCCCTTGTCTCTGCCCTCCCTTTACCCCTCCTCCCCTCCCCCTTTACAAACCCTTCATTTCCATTTTTTTTCATTTTCTCATATTTTTTTCTTTTCCCTTAGAACACAACTTTTTAAAGATGATAGAAATGTACTAATATTTGCAAGAGCTAATATTTTCACATGGCCAATGAATGATGTTTCATGTATGGAAAGAAGATACACCTAAAAGGCAAGGCAAGTAACAGATTTTAGTGTACCTGCATGGGATTTTCAAGAAACTATCAAATGTGAAGTTCTGCATGTCAAATAAAAATATCCATGATTATCAGAAAAGCAATTAAAATACTCACCTTTCCAACTATATACCTATGTGATGCTGAGTATTCTTTTAACCAAAATAAGATAACAAATGAAATGAAGAAACAGATGTAAGATGCTCTGAAACAGTTGGAAAATTGCCAGCATATAAATCTGTTATCAATATTTGCCTTTTTTTGGACAGTGCTAGGACTCAAACTCAAGGCCATGCACATGCTAGGCAAGTGCTCTACTACTGCGCCACATTCCCAGTTGATCTTATTTTGGGACAAAGTTTCACTAAGTTTCCCAGGTTGGTCTTGAACTTGGGATCCTCTGGCCACTGCTACAGTAGGTAGGATTACAGGTGTGCCTACTATGCAGGGCAATTATTGCCTTCTAAAAGTACTATAAATGCTTATCTATTTAGTGACACCTAGTGGTCACTCAATTTATCAGTGGAAGCAAATTTTATCTTTGTCACCTAAGGAAATAAAGTAATTGCTCATTCAGAAACAAGGCAGGACTGCTAGCTGCAAAAATTACATACAACCAGGGCCAGGGATGTAGCTCAGAGTGGCACAGTGCCCAGCAAGCTTGAGGCCCTGAGTTCAATTCCCAGTACCAAAAAAAAAAAAAAATACACACACACACACACACACACACACACAGCAGGCCACGGTGGCACACACTTAATTCCAGTACTCAGGAGGCTGAGGCAGGAATATTTCTGAGAGTTCTAGGCCAGCCAGGGCTACACAGTGAGTCCAAGGCCATTCTGAAATGTAGTGTTATAAAAATCTATTTGTAAATGGTTATTTAGAAGTATACACATGAGAATTTAAAAGGCAAATCAGTGTTTTGAGTGTACTGAAAATAATACATGGTTTTTGTTTTGTTTTGTTGGGACAGGGTCTGGCTATGTAGTTAGAGCTGGTCTTATACTATGTAGCCCAACCTGGCCTCGAACTCCTCCTCCCTCAGCCTCCCAAACACTGAGATTACAGGTGTGTGCCGCCACACCCAGCTACTGTAATAGTACATTTAAAGTATACTTTAGCACTGAAACATTTTAATTAAGGTTCTATTTCTAATCAAATAATCTCTAAGACTCTCTCAAACAGTAATACTGTAATTTGGAAACTGTCCTGGACATCAACCTCAACTGTATCTATCTCCAACAACCCCATTAATTTATCATTCAAGATACAATGAAGACTGGATGCTGAATTTTTCAAATCTGTCCTTCCTTTTCATCCCTGTGCCCCTACTTAGGTTCAGATGCAATATATGCTAAACACTATGTCTGACAATTAAAACAGACATTTCACCACCATGTCCCCCCTTTTAAATCCCACCAGACTCCCTTTTCTTATAGGATCCCAAGCAGTTGTAAGTTTAGTATAATAGATGGCATTCCACCATTCCTTCACCTTTTCCTATCTTCAACATTATCCTTTAGTCTACAAGAAGAGTGGTTGGCAATTTCTCAGTAAAAGGCCAGATGGTAAATATTTAGGTTTTGCTGGCCATGTGGTCTCAGTAACAACTACTTGAATCTGCCATTGTAATGGGAAGGCCACCATACAGAAATAGGTAAATTTCCAAAAAGTACCTGTGGGACTATTTTTCAACAAAACTATCAATATTCCTTATTTAATGACCTGTTTAATGACTGTTAGGACTTACGACTGGGGTGTGCTGTTCAGACTTAGACTCTTTCTTTTTGTACAGTTCTGTACAACTTGTGTACAGAGCCTCAATGACTTTTTTTGGTACAGCACACTATTTATGCGGTACTGTAATTTTATGTTCTGTTATATAGTGCAGTACTGCATGTAAAAGTTATACAAACAAAAGCAGCCATGCTGGAGTTCCCTTGGACCATTTCTCTGGCCTGAATATTGCAATGTACATACTATATACAATTCCCCATTTAGCAACCAATACATTTAACGACCTAGTTGCAGGACCATTACTTGACTGTTAAACGGAATGCCTGTATTTATAAAAACAGGCTGGAGGCCAGGTCTGGCAGGCCAGATTGCCATTTGACAACTAAACTGTTTGCATACATCAACACCAAGCTTTGATGGCTAATGGGATGTGTGCTGTGGACTCTTATGCCCTATATTACCATAATTTCAGTATCTATTGTGGTGTAAGTATCAACAGTTATCACCTACAGAAGTGCTGTCTGGGATCTACAACAGTTTGCAAGAGTGGAAAGGGGTTCAAAGATCAAAAAGTTTGATAATTACTGATCTATTTCATTTCAACCTTCCCATTTCAAAAAGAAGAAAATGAAGACAGAGGGGGCACCTACCTTGGTCATGAGCATACAGTCGGCTAGCAGCACACACAGTAATGTGCATCTTATATATCAGATATACAGTACTACACACATTACTATACTGTATTAATTATAACTTGAACTGCTGTTTCCTAGGTTCATTTATTCTTTTTTCTAGCATAAACTAAGACTCATAAGTTTAGAACTAGCAGATTCTAAGTAGTCATTTGATCTAATCCCCATCCTATCTACTAAAGCAAGACAACTGGCACTAACATGGCTAGGACAATGCTAAGTTCTACCTTTTCTGTTTTACTGCACGTATGGATGAACAGTGCTTCAGTGTGTTACTGTCATGAAAGTACAGCGGAACTTATTAGGTAAATAAATCTGAACAATAAATAAAAGATGCACAGTCAGCACCAGCCACTCAGCCATTCTCCCATGAGAATGTGAAGACTCATTCACTTCAGAGAGAACTCACCCTCGTCCTCGGTACTACTAGACTGAAAATCAGGAGATGACTCAGAATGCGATGATGAAAATTCTTCTTTCCATTTCTTCCGCTTCTTTGGTGGTGGCTCAGCCTTTATTTTTAGCTGTTTAACTTTGGGTTTCATGGCAGGGACTTTTGTACTTGTAGTTTTTGATGATGGAGGATCTGTAGTTTTACTGCTAGTACTTTGTTTGGCCTGAACAGTTCTGCAACGTTCCAAACAAGTTTATTAACACATTTAAATATTATAAAACTAATTTAGAAAAAAAGTGAGACTCACAAGAAAATATTATTTAAATACCTTCATCAATACCTCCAAAATAAAATCCAAGATATATATATATGTATTTTCCTGACATACATTCGTTAACTACTGGCATTCAATACTATTATTAAGGGCCTATTCTCTCTACCCTTACTTTCTCTTTTCATTCCCATCTCCCTTTATGGACTTTTTCCAGAAAAAAAAAGTTGTGTTCAAAATGATCAACGGGTTTAGGGAAATTATGTTCCATAAATTCTTGGTAGCCAACTCTAGCTCTAACTTTCAAAAATTCACAGGCTCTGTTAGTGCCATGTTTTAATGAAGACAGCCCAAAGCATCTGTGCAAGAGGCTCCAAAGATCTGCCCTAAGTGGGTCTAGAGATTTGAGTTGATCAAATTCCATTATAAAAAAATCAGGCAAGCTGTTCCCAACAGGTGGGAATCTTAATTAAACGAGAGCTGCTGGGCACTATGAGAATATATGGGTCACACCCATTTTTCCACACACACAGGTTCAACAGGTAAGTTCAAACTTTGTGCTGCAGACAACAGAATATAATCCATAATGATAACTGTTCTGTGGACTTTGCACAGGCCTCATAACTTTGTCTCAGAAATTATTAGATAAACTTGACAATTTTTGTTTTTTTTGAGACTGGGTCTCACTATGTAGTTGAGACTGACCTGGAACTCACTATGTAGCCCAGGCTGGTCTCGAACTCACAGCAATCCTCCTGCCTCAGCCTCCCGAGTGCTGGGATTACAGGGGTGCGCCACCACGACCAGCCCAACAATTTTTATTATATGAACGAAAAGGCTTTTAGAAGTCTCTTCATGTCACAATTCTTTTTTTTTTTTTTTAATTCTAGGTCAACACCAAAAGGACTCAGGGAAAGCAAAGGGTACCTATCCCACCACAGAAAGTCATAAAATTTAGTCTTTTAAGAGGAATGACTTTCTACAACAGGTACTGACTTTTCAGAACTATATATAATGCAAAAATGAATCTGTCTCTTCAACTGCTGTAATCCTTTGTACAATGACCCTGCCCCAAAAAAGCCAGTAAATATATAATTGTATTACATAACATATACCTGATAGTGTGTGAAGGCTTATTTCTTGGCTTTTTGGAACATACTCTGACATACTCCTTTTTGTTTGCATTTTCAATGAACTTTGCATATATCCTTTTGTATTTGTTCTTCGCATCTCCAAAATATCCTAGGTACTAATGAAAAAAACACCTAAATCACATAGTTGTAAAGCCCATACACAAATATTACTTTGTTGGCTTGACTATCATAGTCATCCTTTGCATTTTCCAAAATATAGCTCTGGCGAGGCTGGTTTCACTCTGAATAAAAATGACCCATTGGGCGGGGGATTTAGCTCAGTGGTTCTGCTGCCTGTTTCATAAGCACAAGGACCTGAGTTCGATCTCCAGTACCAAAAAAAAAAAAAAAAAAAAAAAAAAAAAAAAGATGCCTGGATTATTTCTGACTACAAGCCAGCCCACAATAGTCACACATTGGACAGATGCTCATTTATTCAAAGCTATGGAGCAGCCATGTAAATATAACTTCTGTCATTCTTCTGATAAGTCAAGATATTCCACTGGAAGAATAATCAATATGAGAGTATTTGAACCCATGTGAAATCTTCAGACTAACACTAGTCACTTTTGTTTTTGGTTTTTTTGAGACAAGGTCTCGCTATGGAGTTCAGGCTGGCATTGAACTCACTACATAGCCCAGGCCAGCCTCGAACTCAAGGTGACCCTCTTGCCTCAGCCTTTCAAGTACTGGAATTACAGGCTAACTTTGTTTTTAAAAAATGTGAAGCAACAATACAAAGTCATTAATTTTGAATGGCTGGGAAATTTTTAAAAATTATTTTTATACTTATTTTAAAATGACATTACCAGAGTATCATACTATGTAGTTCAAAATTTATGTGATTTTATATTAGAAATACTCAAAATAAAATGCATTTAAAACTAAATCATTGTTTATTTTCCCCAGGATCACCAACAAAATACTGGAGGGCTAATATTAACAAACAAGCATTTTACTCACACTGTTTGTAGCTGCAAATTCTCTTTGTCCATCTCGAATTTCAGGAACAAATTTCTGTAATAAAGCTTTCTGTACTTTCCAAATAGCTGGGGGTTCCATACCTGTTTTTAAAGCCTCCTGTAATTAGTAAAATTAATTACACTTATAGATAGTATCAATATAGATATATAGAGTTCTCTTAGCTCTGAAAGAAATCTTAAAGACATTCCTAGCTCAAACTTTTATTTCTTATTTGAATTTCTACAATAATATTTTCCCTTGTGGTGTTAGGAATCACACCCAGGGCCTCCACGTGTTCTACCACTCAGCCAAGTCTCTACCCCTTAGCAATAGTCCTGTTTTTTGGTTTTTTTTTTTTTGGTACCGGGGATCAAATTTGGGACCTTGCACTTGCGAGGCTGGCAGCAGAACCACTGAGCTAAATCCCCAGGGCCCCTGTAGCAATAGTTCTTATAAGCTATTCAGTCTATGCTGAGATTCTTCTAGAAATAGAGAGCTCAATAACACAAAGAAGCTCATTATTCCACTTGCATAACTAAACCTATTAGAAAGTTGTCTGCTACTAGTGTCATCATGCATCAGTTTTGCAATTTTATGAGTATGTACTTATTGAAAAAGACCAGAAACTAGCCGGGCGTGGTGATACACGCCTGCAATCCCAGCACTCTGGAGGCTGAGGCAGGAGGATCTCTGGGAGCTTGAGACCAGCTTGGGCTACACAGTGAGTTCCAGGTCAGTCTCAACTACATAGTGAGAACCTGTCTCAAAAAACCAAAACAAAAAAAAAAAAAAAAAAAAAAAAAGGACCAGAAACTAATAGACAACGTATCAGCAATTGTTAATTGTGAATGGAAGGAATATAGATAATTTAAGAGTTATATTCTTCTCAATGCCCACTCCTCTCTGCCCAAATTTAAATACACACACACACACCTTCGCACACATGCACATACTCAACACACTCATGCTTGCCCTCATGCTCTCTTTCCCTCTCTGACAGGGTCTCACTATGTAGTTCAGGCTGTCCTTGAACTCACTATGGAGCTCAGGCTGGCCGCAAACTCATGGCGATCCTCCTGCCTTCACTTTAGAAGTGCTGGAGTTACAGGAGTGTGCCACCACACCCGGTTTTATCTTTTCTTATTCTGTTTATGGCTCTATAATTTGAAATTATAAAATTACATACAATTATACTTTTACATGGTACTCACTGTTAAATTATATCAATAACCATTTTCTCCAAACTCATACTGAGTTGAGAGCCTTGAAAAAAATTAACATTTCAAAAATTTATAACTGTAACTTAGTACTGAATGCAACGGACTAGTTAGAAGTATATAAAAATCACAATAAAGGTAAAATTACTTTTAGTGACATCTTTTTCAAAATACCTGATATCCACTACTTTAATCAAACATAATTTAGGAGAGTGAAAAATATAACTTTTTGTACTGAGACAGATTCATGCTACTAAAGTCACCATGAGGGCTATCAGAGACAGTTCAACTAACTGTGACCTTTGCAGCTGTAAACATTTATATCACCTTAAAAGTCTCTATGTCTTCTATCTTTATCACAAATTCATCACGCTCTCTGTATTGGCCTTCTCCTCCGCTCTCTGTGTTTTCCTCATCTGTAAAACCTTCTATGGCAACAGTGTCCTGTCCTTTTGCCAATTGGTCTGAAGGAAGACTACCAAGTTCGATGGGTTTTGGGGTTTCAGTGGCATTTATATTTTCCATGCTGTTTACTGCAGAGGAAGTAGAGTGGAGAGGTTCTTGCTTAGCTGCACACACAGTGGTGGAAGAAGTCGTAGCAGTACCAGTTGTAATGGCAGATGGGCTAGGAGTTGCCACCTGTAGGGCTTCTGAAACTAAATTAAGTGAATGCAAATCAGTAATACAAATATTTAAACATTTTCATATTTTGAGTTAAATCTGAACAGTTTAAAAAGAAAGACTTGACTATTTCTATAATCAATTGGTTGACTCAATCAAGCCCACAGGAAGAAATTTAAGAAGTTAATTGCTAAGAATCTCAGATGTGAAAACTGAATCTGGATGATAAGACTGTAGTGCAAACCTGCATCTACAGTATGTACCTATCCTTCCTCCCAACTCCACTTTAAGGAGAACAAAGATATTTTTACAAGAACTGAGACATGTAAAGGCCACAGAAGATAAGGGAAGGTCAGCTAACCAAAGCTGTAAAGAACTCTTAGAAGACGAAAGGCCAAAATACCTCTTCCCCATACTCTGAAACAGCTTTAGAAACTACTGGAAAAAAAAAAAAAGGATCATAAAGTAATCCTATGTAAAGTCATATGACAATGAAGTAAATAACTTGGATGAAATGAAAAAATTCCTAGAAAGACAAACTAGAGAGAACTCAGGAAATGAAAAATCTAAATAGGCTAATATCAAATAAAGAAAACAGAAGTAATTTAAAACCAACCTAAAAAGAAAATAAGAGGCCTAAAGGATTTTACTGGTGAATTCTACCAACAATTAAATAGTTAACATCAATTAACATAAACCCTCAAAAAAGAAGAAAAAAAAAACAGGAAGAAACAAATCTCAAATTCTTTAAGGCTAGTATTTTTCTAATACCAATACCAAAATCATACAAAAATATAGGAAAACTACATATAACATTCCTTATGATATAAATACAAAATTCCCCACAAAATATGAACAAATCTGCCAATATATAAAAAGAATCACAAAGGGACTGGGTATGTAGCTCAGTGGTGAAGTGTCTGCAAAGTGCCTGCCTAGTTTCTTTTCATCATCAAAAGAAAAAAAAAATCCTATAACACAAATGAGATGGATGTATTCTAGAAATGTAAAATCAGTCCTTTTCACGATAAAAAGAAAAAATACTCCACTGAGGTATGACACTCGCCTTTAATCCTAGCAGTCACCTGGCTGAGACAGAAGGATCTCTGTAAATTCAAGGCCAGCCTGGTCTACAAAATGAGATCAAGGCCAGCCTGAACTATATAGTGAGACTTTGTCTCAAAAAGACCAAAACTAAAATCACACACAAAAAATTCACCAACTTATAGGATCCTAAGCATTTTCAGGTTTCACATCATAGTTAATGGAGAAAAACTAGATGGTTTTTCCCTAAGAAGGATATTGAAAGTAAAATCACCATAATTTATAAATGGCATAATCTTATATACAAAAAAAATCCTAAGAAAATTTCTAAAAAGCTACTGAAACTAATGAGTTTAGCAAAACTTCAGGGTTATAGGACTAATATTAAAAAAAACCAAATGCATTTCTATACACTTGTAATGAATAAGCCATAATGAAATTAGAAACACAACTTTATTCACAATAGCATGAAAACTAATAAAATATTTAGAAGTAAATTTAAAGAAGTGTAAAGCTCACACTGTGAAAACTATAAAACACTGCTCAAAAAAATTTAAAAGGTCCATAACTAGAAAAACAGGCAATGTTCACAAATCAGAAGATTTAATATTGTCAAGAGGTAGTATTCTACAAACTGATCTAAGATTCAACCCAATAAAATTTCTAGCTGCAGCCCCTAAATTGCACAGTGATCCTAAAATTCATATGGAAACGAGACACAAACTAGCTCTCATCTTGGAAACAGAAGAAAAAGAAGATTCACATTTCCAAATTTCAACTCACTATAAAGCTACTGTAAGTAGCTCATAGTATAGTCACAGACTAGCTGGACAGAAAGTCCCTCTGTAATCTTCCTTTTTGGAGGGTTTATCATTTTACTACTAATAAAATGATTTTCAACAAAAGTATTAAGCCGAGAAAGAACAGTTTTTCCAGCAAGTAGTGCTGGGATAGCCAATAGCTACTTATGACAAAATGAAGTTGGAACTCTACTTCACCATATACTAAATTAACCCAAAGTAAATCACAGATTTAAATGTAAAAGGTAAAAATTATAAAATTCTTAGAGGAAACATAGGTGTAAATCTTTCTGACCCTGGCTGGGTTAGGGTTATGGTTTTAGATATGCCACCAAAATAAAAGGTGCAAAGAAGAAGGAGAAGTAGGAGAGGTAGGGGAAAAGAAAGAAGGGAATGGAATATGAGAGAATGAAAAAATAGAAATAAAGTCTTTGTAGATAGGGAGGGGGGAGAGGTTGAAGAGGGAAGGGGAATGGGGAAAAAATAAGAACCAAGACAGATTATGTAAATGTGCAAATTTCCAAGATGAATGTCATTATATTGTATACCTTAAATGTACCAATAAAATTAACTTTAAAAAACAGATATGCCACCAAAATCATGTGACAAAGAAAAAAAAACACCTAGATTTCATTTAAAAAGTAAACTTCTGTCATAACTGATAATTAAGATAAAAAGATAAGCTAGAGAATGAGAAATGTTTTGAAGTTACATACTTGAGATTCATATCTAGAATATACATAAAACACACACCTTAATAATAAAGACAACCAATTTTTAAAATGAACAAATGATCTGAATAGATATTTGTCCAAAGAAGATGTTAAAAATGACCAATAAACTGGGCACAGTGGTGCACACTGTAATTCCAGCTACTCTGGCTGCTGAAGCAGGAAGATTGCAAAGTCAAGGCTAGCCTGGGTGACTTAGTCTCTGTCTCAAAAAAAAAAGGGGGACTGGAGATGTACCCCTGAGTTCAATCCCTGGTAACACAGGAGAGAGAGAAGGGGTGGGGAAGACCAGTAAGCAAGAGAAAGGCAACTCAATGTTACTAGGCATTGCATAAATGCAAATTAAATCTACTGGGATGGCTTTACTAACACAATGACATGTTTCAGCAGGAATGCAGAGTGATTATAATCCCTATATGTGGGTAATGGGAATATAAAATAGTGTAGCTGCTTCAGAAAATATATTTGGCCATTGTCCATTAAATATCAATACTACATGTTTCAGGAATTCCACCTCTGGATGTGTAAAAGAAAAAAAAATAAACATTTACTCAAAACCTTGTACATAGGTCTGGGGATGTAATTAGCAGTAGTACAGTGCTTGTGTAGTATGAGACCCTGGGTTTTCTTCCTAGTACCACAAAATACAAAAAAGTAAAAATCTATACATGATGTCCATAGCAGAATTATTCAAAATAGCTTAAAAGGTGAAAATAAACCCAGTATCTATTAACTATGAGGGAACACAAAAATATGGGAATAGTGTTAAGGGAATAAAAAGCAATTAAATACTGATAAATGATACAACATAAACCCTGAAAACATTATGCTAAAGAAGTCACATTATGCTAAATTAAAAAGTCACCTATGATTCTCTGTACATGAAAAATGTCCAAAACAAGCAAATCTATAGAAAAACAAAGTAGATTAGTTATTGCCAATGGCTGGGTGTGGACCCAGGGAATGACTGCTACTGGGTACACAGCTTTTTGGCAGATCATAAAAATGTTCCAAAAATTGCTTGTGCTTTGGTTGTAACAATTCTATGAAACTATTCAGTATACATCAAATGGGTAGAAGTTATTGTATGTGAATTACAGTTCAATAAAGCTGTTTAAAAACACACTGACGCATGCCTGTAATCCCAGCACTTGGGAGGCTGAAACAGGAGGATGAAAAATTCAAGCCCAGCCTGGGCTACACAGCAATATCTTATCTCAAAAAAGCACACAAACAAACAACAACAAAAACTCCACTTTGAAGACCAGAGCTGGTGGGAGAATCCTGGGTTGAAAAAAGACAATATAGAGTTCCAGTGGTGATTCAGAATAATACTGTAACTCTCCAAACATTTGGGATTCAAACTTTCACAGATACGAAAGGACCTTGCATTATAGCACTCATAGATGCAAACAAATTGTAGAAGTAGTAGCTCACGTGTCTGATGGACACTGTCACAGTTGTGCTGTTGTGTACTTACAGTATAGTGTGATACAGTATTTGTGTCAAGGGTGCATAAGACTCATTTTGTCAAACTAATGAATTAGTCTGACTTAGGAACGTTCTCCCAGAATGTTCATAAGTCAACTTACCATACTGATGAACTAAAATAATAATAATATATACAATACATAACAATAGTGAAAATAGGAAGACCAATGATTCCTTATCTAGACAGCACAAGGGCATTTGATCACATGTTAAAATATACAACCAGTTTCCTGAAAAAACATGAACTCTACCTGCCTAGGGTGATGGAAGAGCTCAGAGAGAACTAAAGCAGAACTGAGAAACACCAAAACACATCCAAAAAAGCAGTCTATGCTACACAACAAGAGCAAAGCCCTTGCCTTTGTTTCCATCCAGCTTTCCTGTTCTTGTACCAAATTAAAACAGCCCTCATCCATTCTGATCCAGGGAAAAGGCTAATTGGGAAAATACAGATGAGTAATCAAGTCAGTATAACTGTATCCTAATGTAAAAATACTGGAGCTACACAGCAATACTTTTCTGTCACAAAAATGCCTATACAAATGGAAAACTGATTTCATGACAGGATTCTAAATATTAGATATTTCTAACACTGCAATAAATACTGATATAAATTAACATCTTTTCAAATTTTAATGTGAAAGAAAGCTTTCTGTTAGATGGACGTAGTACATAAAATTATTTCTATATGCATATCCATGGGTAACTATTACAACGGGTTTTGCAATCAATTTTATTTCTATCCTTCATTTTTAGTGATAAAAAATTGAGAAACTTCGTATAGACTGGTGAATAAATGAATAAGTGATTCTATTATAGTAATGTCTCTGAATTTTGCAAATACCGTAATCTGAGTTACACTGCAAAGCAAATAATAGATATCTATGAACAAAAACAGATACTGCCAACTCTAGACCCAAGAAAAAGCTGTTAAAATTATAAAGCACATGTATTAGTCAGATGCAAAAAAAGAAAAGCTATGACCGCAAAGAGAAGCTATAAGGGGTAAATACGTAGTAAATTTAAACAAGAGCTGAGTATTTAAACACTACTAATGACATCTTGTTGAGTATTAGAAAAAACAAGACAAAGTATGCAGTAACATTTAAGTGAGGAAAATGTTAAATGGGAGTTTCAGTGTTTGAAATTTCTAATCAAAAGAAAGAAACAGATTTTGAGAAGCTGAGAATGCATATTGTAACTATGACTCGAACTAAAATATTTCACTAAAATTGCAGGGAACAGGGAAGCAGGTAAAGACTGAAATTAATAAAACAAGACTGACCGTGTATTGCTGAATTTTCCCCTGGTGCCGGGGATCAAACCCAGGGCCTTGGGCAAGCTAAGTAAGAGTCCTACCACTGAGCTACATGCCTAGCCCCTAGTGATAATTACTGAAACTAAGCAATGCATGAATTGGTTTTATTATGCCAATCTCTACATTTTCTCGTATGTTTGAAATTTTCTATTAATAAAAAGTGGGCTGGGAATATAACTCGGTGGCAGAGTAGTGCTAGGCATGCCCAAGGCCCTGGGTTTGATCCCCAACATCATATAAACATACACAAAAGTTATGCCAAAAAAATTATCCCCCAGTACTGGGCATCAAACACAACCTTACACACGCTAGGAAAGCACACTACCACTAAGCCAAACTGACACCTTAAAAAAAATTTTTTTAAAGATGTATAACTTCCAAATTTGGAGAGGGAAACTATACTGATACTGTATAATGAGCTCTGTATGAAGTTTTAAAACCAGTGTCTACAGATGCATATACTAGTGATAAAATTATAAAAGAAAAACAAAGGAAGTAATTACTCTCCAAATCAGTAGTTAGTACTAGAGGTTATGAGTTGGATTTAGATTAATGCACTAGTTTTATATTTTCTTACTTTCCAATGAATGGAATTTACTGTCATATATTTTTTTCTTTGTCCCACATTCTGGCCATGTCTCATTGGTTTCAGTTTGTCATTTCAGTTTTGGCTTCCTAGAATAACTTCAAGAATTATTTAGAAGGGTGAGTTTTTCTTTGTTTCGTTTCTTTTGTTGTTTTCCTCCTATTAGACGATTAAATTACAGCATTGTGGTCAGGGAATATGGCTTGATTAATGTATGTTCACAGTTTTTTTTTTAGTTTATTTAAAAATATTTTACCTCCAGAAAATCATTATAGAGAAATATTATTTTAGAGCCTATACTCTTGTAGGTCTGGGAATTGAACCCAGGGCTTTCTAGGTACCATATCAGGCAAGTGCTCCACCTCTGAACCACATGCCCAGCTACATGTTCAAATTTCTACAAGTTTTACTTTTCCTTACCTATGTTATATTTCCATGTGTGTTGTATTTCGTAAGAAAATAATGTTCTGAAAGAAAACACAGATGTGAGCAGGCATGGTGTCACATGCATGTAATCTCAGCACTCTGGGAGGCTGAGGCAGGAGAGTCTGAAACCAGCCTGAGCAACTACATAAGACTCTCTCTCAAAATAAAAATATTTTAAAAGGCTAGGGAATTGTAGCTTAATTATGAAAGCCCTGGGTTCAATGCCCAGCCCTGGAAAAACAGAACAAAATCCAGAGATATAGAAAATATATCTAAAAATTACTAACCCCAAAATTAGTATGGCAATGTTAGAGAAATCATTAAATGGAAAAAAGGAGACTTTATTACAGTAAAAGGAAATTTAACCGCAGTAAAATTTTATGCACCTAATTACAAGAGTTCAAAATATAGGAAAGTAAGCAGCATTAGAAAAACAATGTAACAAAGTGAGAAATTTTAACACACCTTGCTCAGGAATCAACAGATCAAGCAATCTAAAAACAAATAAGGATAGAGAGGATTTAAAAAATTTTTATTATAAAATTTTAAACACACACAAAATCAAGAAAACAAGTCCTCATGTACTATATAACCCAACCTTAACAACCACATACATGTTGATATACTTATCTTACCCGCCCATCACTTTTATATTTGTTAGGGTATTTTAAAGAAAATTTCAGACATGTCAAGTTTCCTTCCAAATTTACATAATATATGTAGATAGTCTTATATACCCTAACATCATTTATTACATAAAATCAAAAACTAAAAAATACAGAGGATTTAAACAGTATTATCAAATGAAGTATATCTGTATGCTACTCATGGAATATTTATAAAAATTGAACATCTATTAAGATATTGACAAAATTCCTATAAATGTTTAAATGTGAACATATTCCTTGAACAAAACAGGGCCGTAATTTAATTTTTAAAAATAACAGCTGAGCATGGTGCTGGGCCTGTAATCCCAGCACTTGGGAGCTACAGGATTACCATGAGTCTGAGGTCAGCGTGGCTAGTGAGTTCAAGGCCAGTCTGAACTACAAAGCAAGACCCTGTCTCAACAAATAAATAGCCATTTACCCTGATCAATCTGTACAACCTGGGTTAAAAGGAATGATCAATACTGAAATGGCAATTCATTTAAGAATGACAAAGAGAAAAACTAAATTGAAACCAGTAGGATATAGCCCCAATGTGGTGAAAAACTAAAAGCAGGCACAGTGATTCACACCAATTCTTTTTTTTTTTTTGGTCCCGGGGATTGAACCTTGCACTTGCGAGGCAGGTGGTGGAAGCACTGAGCTAAATCCCCAGCCAATGCACACCTATTGTAATCTTCGCTACTTTGGAGGTAGAGCCAGGGGGACTGTAAATTCAAGAATAGCCTGGGTAATTTATTGGGCCATTGTCTCAAAATAAAAACCAGAAAGAACTGAGATCATCACTCAGTGGTAGACAGCCTGCCTACCAAGATTGAAGCTTTGGTTTCAAATCAAAGAACTGAAAACAAAACAAAAATTAAAAGCTTAATGTCATTCACAGATAGAAAATACAAAAATAAACTAAAGCTCAACAAGTCAAAAAGGGAACAGTAAATTAAATTCAAGGAAAACCAGAGATAAAGAGGATAAAAGAAGAAATTAAGAAAAAGGAAAAAAATAGCAAAAAAAAAAAAATCCGGTTTCTTGGAAAAAACCACTTAAAAGTCAATAAACTTTTCACAGGCTAGTAAGGAAAAAGATGCAAAAAATCATTACAAGCAAGAAAGACTATCTAAATACAGAAACAGAAGAGACTAAAAACGTCAAGGAACAGTAAGTACAATTACATAACAACAAAATTTTAAATCTAAATAAAACCAACAATTTTTCTAGAAATTTTTTTTTTTTTTTGGTTTTGAGACAGGGTCTCACTATGTAGTTGAGACTGACCTGGAACTCGCTATGTAGACCAGGCTGGTCTCGAACTCACAGCGATTCTCCTGCCACAGCCTCCTGAGTGCTGGGATTACAGGCATGAGCCACCACACCCAGCAAAATTCATTTTTCTTAAATTGACTCAAGTAGACGAAGACACCTTAGGAAAAAAATGAGAAAGATGAGCAGCTAGATATATTGTTATATTCTATCAAATCTCCATTATGCACAGTAAACTTTTTAATTTGGAAGACTGATGTAACCCTGAATACAGAAGTAAACAGGATACTAATTAATACTAATTTTGTTTATGGGTCTAAATGTAAAAACTCTCATATAAAATATTAAAAACTTAAATTTTGCAATGGATTGAAATCATCATCATGACCAAGGACAGTTAGTAGAAAAAATTTTAAAAGTCTATATTAGGAAACCAAATAATAAAAAGCATCACAATAATAGATTAATGTGAAGGAAAAAACCATTCATCAGAAAAGCTCAAAAAGGTAACTAAAAAATCCAGTATTCATTGATGTTAAGAACCTTAAAACATAAGAAAATTTCTTTAAATTAAGAAATATAGCACACCAAAAATATAGGCCACCATGCTTGGATAGGAAATCACATTTTAAAACCAACTAAAAGGAGCAAGACCCAGTGGCAGAGCCCAGAACTCTGGGTGTCTGAGGGAGGAGGACTGAAAGTTTAAGCCCAGCCTGGGCACCTCAGCAACTTGACAAGACTCCGTCTCAAAATAAAAAATACAAAAACGTAGCTCAGTGTAAAGGCAATGGGTTCAATCTCCAGTACTGGAAAACCAAACCAAACAATTACAGACAGCTAAATTAGGTAGAAATATTATAGGCAGTCAGATAGGGCTGGGCCCTTGACAGAGTCAGTGCAAAAGATGAAACACATTACAACCATGGACTGAGATGCATCTGGGGGAGACTAGGCCTCAACATAAAGATGAAATGACCAGACATGCATATCTTCCAAAGAACAAGATAAATGCTAACCCCTGGCCTAATGAAGTCTAGACAGGCATCAGTCACCTGGTGGGTGACCAACACCTTGGGACCCATCATTTCCTAAAAAAGTCTTTGTTTTGTACCTGCACATTTGTTACTTGACTTGTTCCCTCACTGGATCACTGTTACCTAAGCAGTTATACTTGCAACCTGATTGGTTGTTCATAGCTTTTTACCCACATTGTACTCATACGGTTTTGGCTCTACAAAACTTCCCCTGCAAAATGGGATCCTCGGCTACCCATTCAGGACCACTCCTGCCTCTCAGGAGCTATCCTCTCAATAAATATTTCCTAGTCTTAACCTCCATTGTTCCTAAAATTAATTCTTTGATTTTAGAGACAACAGACATCTAACAGGTTGGAAGTTATAGTATTTCCCTTTTACTACATTTGGAGATCCGGATATCACTTCCTATATCAAAACCAAACCAAACCATCAAAAACTAAAGAGCTTGAGGTATAGCTCTGTGCTAAGATTGTTTGCTTAACATGAGTCATACTCAGGGTTTGATCCCCAGCATTGCCAACAACAACAACAAAAAAAAAAAAAAAGGGGAAGGAAAAAAAGGAAAGGAAAGCACACACAAACACTAAAATTAAAATATATGACTTCGATGGGAGAAAAAGTGATGCAATACTAAAGAGATCTGATTAAATATAAAAAATATTTCACAAGTAGTAGAATAAACAAAGATGTCAATTCTGCCTTTAATTTGGGAATTAAAAAAACTTTATTGGTACATTTTTATTTTATTTTATTTTTTGGTTTCTTGAGACAGGGTCTCACTTTGTAGTGAAGGCTGACTTCAAACTCATGGAAATTCCCCTGCTTCAGCCTCCTGAATGCTGGGACCACACGCATGTGCCACCTCGCCCAGCATAATTTGGGAATTTATTGGTGTTTTTTTTTTTCTCATTGAGTTTAATGGTACATTTTAGGTATACAGTACAGTTACATTCATTATTGGGATCTTGTACCTTTACATGACAGGTCTTGGTTCTTATTTTTTCCCCTTGTCCCTGCCTAATTTGGGAATTTAATGTAATCACAATCCAAAATGTTGAAGGGCTCCTATAGGCCCAAGACAAGATGACTATCAGAAATAATGATTATAATTGATAACACTGAATTTTTTCAGAAATTTACGAAAGGCTTCTTTCAGAAATTCATGAAACCAACCAAAATGGAGTAAGTACACTAGGAGATATTACTGACCAATGATTACAAATTACAAATTTGGACAAAATATAAAATGCAATGACCTCAAAACTTTGAAAAGTTAATAAAAATAGACTGGAGAGAGAAGCCCAAACTGAAATAACAGTCTTTTTATGGAGATATATCTTGGATCTCTTTCTTTGGTTACCTCACATTGACTGGATGTTGGCCCTAAGCAGAACTGCACAGTGCAGAAACAACAAAAACTCTATGAAAGACCCCATCTTTCTGGCCAGAGGAGAGGGGAAAGAAGGCCTGTGCAAAGCAAAGAGTGTGAGCAGAAAGTTCTGTTTCTTCTTTTTTTCTTTCTCTCCCAGCCTTGCCCAGACAGAAGCCTGAGCCACAGAGGGGCAATCAGTGGCAATGAACCAGGTATCTAAATCCTAACAGAACACCTGTCTTTTTGGGTCCCTTAGGCATTAAGAGGGTAAGAGGAATCCCTGTTCTTTCTTTTTCTCTCACTGTACTACCTTGCCCCAAGGACGGTCCTAGCTGCACAAACTGTATCAAAACATGTGCTAAATCTCCAAGAAAAATAGCAGCTTTCCAGCTAAAGGAAAGGAAACCCTGGGATCCAGACAGTGTGGGAAAATCCCGGGGAAAAGAGACTTGAAGAAGGGGATGCTTTAGTTCTATGCATGAACCTACACAAATCCTGGTTTCTGCCTAAATTATATTTGTATGGGATATCCCAAAGTAGCACAATAAAGGCTCTGAGATCTGAACTATATAGCACAGGCTACTACTCATCCATGTTCCAGACTAACTGCCAGGGCAAAATCAAATCAGCAAGGCAAAGGCTTTGAAAATGGAATTGTCCCTGGAATCAACTCACTGAAGGTGAGAGAGAATTTGTGGTCTGACTGCCTGCTAAAATGACACTATCCAGTGAAAAAATTCACTTAATAAGCTCAATGGCAGAATGGAGAAGGCCAAAGAGTCAGTGAACTTGGGAGACATTATTTCCACAGAAATACTTCAATCTGAAGAACAGAAAGAAAGAAAAAAAAAAAAGATTTAGTGAACAGAATTTCATCCATAGAAAAGCATCAAATATTACACATGTTTTACTGGAGCAGCATAAGGATAAATTGGGGCAAAAAAAATATATGTGAAGAAATTTTGTGCTTCCTCCCAAAAAAGCTTCCCAAACTTGTAGAAAGTCATACATTTATAGATTCAAGAAGCTTAGTGAACTTCAGAGAAAATAAAATATAATCAGATATATTACAATTAATTGTTCAAAACCAAAAGAAGGGGCAGGGGGCGTAGCTCAGTGGCATCGTGCCTGCCTGGTAAGTGCAAGGTCCTGAGTTTGATCCCCAGTACCACAGGTAAAAACAAAAGCAAACAAACAAACAAACACACAAAAAATAAATAAATGAAAAAGAATGTTCTTTGGGATGAAGGGAAATGATATCAGAATGATAGGAGAATGGTATCTGTTAGACAGGGAATGATATCTATTAGAAAAGGAGTACAACAGGCCTGGGGGTTTGGCTCAGTGGTTCCACTCGCTGCCTGCCTCACAAATGCAAGGACCCAAGTTCAATCCCCGTACCAAAGGGGAAAAAAAAGGTTCAACAGAAAAGATACATGTCTTGTTAAGTGTAATAGACTATTTTTCCTTTTAAGTTACTTTTATATATTATAATTATATGTATGACTGTTAACAGCAAAAATTACTATATCAATTTTTAATCTGTCAATTTAATATATAGGATTTATACATCAGAAGGGGAAAGGTAAAGGAAATTATCATTAGGCTTCTGTATTTTGTTTGAAATGGTAAAAATATTAACTCAGTAGATTATGAAAAGTTAGGCCTGTGTATTGTAATATGTAAGTTAACCACTAAAAACACAATATAAAGAAATAACAACCCCAAAACAGATGAATAATAAATACTAAAAAGAAAGAAGAAACAAAGGAATGAAAATCAAAAGAGAAAGAATATAAAATGGAAAATCTAAATCTATATTAGTAAATGGTTAAAGCATATGAATTGAAAAAGATCGTCAGATTGGATTTCACAAAAAGGGACAAAATAGATCTATACACTATCTAGAAAATACCCATGTTAAATACAATGTCATAGATCAGCTAAAGTTAAATAATGGAGATGGTAAACACAAACCAAAGGAAACCTGGAGCAGCTATGCTGACATCAGAGTAAACACTAGTACAGGGGTTATTACCAGAGATAAAGTACACTACATACTGGTAAAACCATCAACTAATCAAGGCTTAATCCTAAATCTGGGTACAATTAAAAATGGAGCTCAAACTACAAGAAGCAATTATTATAATGTGTGAAAAGAGTAAGACATATCCATAAAATACACTTGGGCGATTTCAACATTCCTCTCTCAATTATTAAAATATTAAATCAACAGATAATCAGCAAGGTGAACAATACTAACAGTCAACTTACTCTAACAGGTATTTATAAGAACAATTTATACAACAGAACACACATTTTTTTTCATACAGAGTCTATTAGTTCACACTAGCCTCAAATTCATGGTAATCCTCCTGCCTCAGCTCCCAAGTGCTGGGATTACACCACCACTGGGCTAAAAGACAGACTTATTTCTCCCAAATATCAAAAATGTCCACACTTACAGCTCTTACTAAACATCATCTATGAAGGCACGGCCTTCAAAGATAGAAGACTTCCCTTATCTCCAGAGGGCTTCACTGTCTACACAAAATCCTGCAAAATACACACACACATATGTATGTGTGTATCACAAGAGCTATGTGCAAATCCCCAGGATTTAAGGTCAATATGTAAAACTCAACTCCCCCCCAAATATTTTTTTGGGGGTACCGAGGATTGAACTCAGGACCTTGTGCAAGGTAGGCGGCATGACCACTGAGCTAAATCTCCAGCTCAACTATGTTTATAATTTACTAATGTACAATTGATATTTGGAATTTAAAAAAATATAATTCACAAAAACACCAAATAGGAATAAATCTAACAAAGCATGTGTAAGACCTATATGCCAAGCAATACGAGACAAATGAAAAAAAAAAATCAAATGGAAAGAGTGTTCCATTAATATACTGTTAACAGTTCAGTTCTACAAACTGCTAAAGCCTCAATAAAATCATCCCAGCAAGCAATGTATTCACATTATGTAGCTTAAAAGGTGCACTTGTTTTGCAAAAATGAACACTCAAAATCCTTTCTAATAGCGCTTTTGAAGTATACAATTAATTACGTCAACCAGTTACCCTATGGTATTATAGAATACTACAATGTACTTCTCTTATCCAACTATGCTCCTAGCAGGCTTTTTTCCCTTGGTAGATAATGATTGAGGAATTGAAAATTACGTGGAAAAAAGAACTAATATAGTTAAAACAATTGCAATTTTGAAAAATAATCTTTGAGGGTTCACGCTGCACTATTTTAACACTCTATAGTTACAGTATTAAGACAATACAGTATTGGTGAAAGCACAAACACATGTAACAATGGAAGGGAAATGAGAGTTCAGAAAAATTCCAAATATTCCAACTGATTTCTGACATAGATAAAAAGGTAATCAATGGAGAAAAGAGAGCCTTTTCAATAAATGATGCAGGAAAAGTTGGGACTTCATATACAAAACCTTAGCTTCAACCCATGCCTCAGATTTGTGGGGGGTGGGTAACCCAGAGGTACTCTACCACTAAGCTATATCCTCAATTTTATATTTTGAGACACAGTCTTACTCAGTTGCCCAGGCTGGCCTCAAAGTTGTGAACCTTTTGCATCATCCTTCTGAATAGTTGGGATTACAGGTGTGTCTCACTGTGCCCAGCTTAGTGCCTCAGATCTTATTACTACATCAATGAGGTTCAGAACAAGTCACCTCCTTCATCCACTGTAAGACAGTGGGAGACCAGATGTAGCAAAAAAATTGTTTTGTGAAAACTGCAGACACAAGAAAAGCTCTGAAAGTTGCCCCTTGAGAAATTTACATACTACAATATGTAAGTACAATATGTATGGTCTCTGTACCAGGAAGAAAGGAAAAAACCAGAAATGTATCTCAGTGGTGGAGCCCTTAGCAGGTCCCTGGTTTCAATCCCAACACACACACACACACACACACACACACACACACACACCCCACACACGGTAAAGAAAAGGATGGCCATATTACCAGATACTCTTAATTTAAAGACTTAAAACTGCATAGGAAATCTTACAATAAAACCCCCAAAAAACAACAAAAAACAGGTATGGTGGTATAAATCTATAATTTCAGTACTCAGGAAGCTAAGGAAGGAAGATGATGAATTAATTTAGGTCAGCCTGAACTATATAGAGAGATACTGACTTTAAAAAAATCCAATAAACAAATAAATAAAAATTTTAAAAGTGCATTTAAGATACTTTTCTCTTGGTCTTTTTGCATATTCTATTTGGCAAACAATGGTATTTAAATCTGTAAATACTTGTAAATTCTTCTGTTTGTTTTTTGGCCATACTGGGGATTCAATCTAGACTTCTGCAATAAATTACATCCTCAACCCTTTAAAAAAATTTTTTTTATTATTTTGGGATAAGGTCTCACTAAATCACTACATTACCCAGACTAAGTTGAACTTGCAACCCTCTTGTCTCAGCCTTCCAGGGATTTCTTTTGAAATCTAGAGATCACTTATTTCTCTAAACTTTTGTAATATGAACTACAAGTTATTAATTTGCTTTTCTTTTGTTAATCTATCTTACTAATTCCCACAGGCCTTAAATGTCTATGAAACCATTTACTTTTGTGCTTTAATATATTAATTAACATCTACATGCATATTTCATTAGAATATGAGTTTCTTTATAAATAGTCTTAAAAGAATTAACTGCTTGACTAAAAAAGTGAAGACAGCAGTATGGGTAGAAATATGTTCAGACAATTATGAAAAGAAGTTGGTTGGATGCCTATGAAACAAATTCAGCTGTTACAAAAGAGGGAAAGTAGAAAAAGCAGAGCAAGAGTGTTAAACATGAAAGAGGGACAATTTTTACTGTTGTTTTTGTATTATCCCACGAGCCCAAAGGAGTGTTTCAAAGTAAAAGGAATAATCAGTGTTCCTTTTGAATAAAGATAAGTCTGATGGCAATGTAGAGGATGGACTGATGAAAGGCTGGTGAGAAAGATTCTGATGCAAAGTCTGCAGCAAAACAATTACTTCTTGTAGATGAGACAACAGGATGGTGAAGACAGAACTTCAAAGACCTGACTGGGTTGATGGTGATGATCATAATTAACCATGAGATAATGCTTGCCTGAAAGAAACTAATTTCAGACTCATATTTTAATCAGAAATTACAAAAGACTTATTCTAGGAATGAGAAAGGAAATATAAAAATTGCAAAGCACTCAGAATTGGGAGGAAGAGCATAAACCCTTACTAAGAATGGCCACATCCATAGTAATGTCTTTCAATCTTAGACTAACTTTCCATTATTCTAATTTCCCTGTGTAATGAATGAGAACTGTTTAGAAATATTATCATATATACTATTATTTGGAACACCAGTTGCTTCCATTACCTTAATTAAAGGTTGTCTCAAGTCCAAAGAGAAGCTGACAAGTATTTTATAAAATAGTTTAATTCTTAAAGCATTACCCTAATACAAAAGAGCTCAGCAGGAATACAAGCTCTAGAACCAGACAAACACAGGTTCAGATTCCACCCCTGTTGCACTTACTAGCTATATGGACCTAAACAGTTCCTTTACTCAGTCTTATTGGTATATTGAAGGTAATAATGCATATCTCACAACAATGCTAGTGATTCCTGGCACAGATGTGATAGCTACGTTATTGTTATAAATAATTTTTTCCTCAGCATATTCTTTAACATAGTAACTTTTATACTTACCTGTTAATTTTTTAAAGAAGTCAGTGTTTCTTAAAACATTTCCTATATTAATCCAGAATAAGGTGAAACCCATGCCAAAGGTTTGGGTATACACTGCAGTTCAGAGCCAGTTACAAAGTTACAGTTTTAATTAGAGTAATATGAATGCTACACACAACTACTTAGTAGTAAAAGGCTAATTTTCAGGTAAAATCAGCATATCAGGAAAAATTTTCCAGGTTTATATGATAGGAACTCCAATACTGTGCCACATGCCCAAAAGCTATTTCAAGATGACTCAGGTTAAAGAAGCCGAGATAGGGCTCAAGTTGCCTGGGCAAAAAGTAAAAAATAAAACAAAATAAAAGACTCCATAGAATTACATAAACTAAGACCAAGAACTTTCCTATCACAAGGTAACTGTCAAAAACAAGTACATAAGGTGACTACTTACGTATTTTGTCCCCCAAATTTACAGACCTTCTGCAAGCTAAAAGAGCTTAAAATGTAAACTATAGCTAAAAAATAAGTCATAACTGTGAATCTATTTAAAACTTTACCTGTTTTCTTCCTTTTATTAGAAGTAGCATCCAGCACAGTTAAGGAAGCAGAGATGGTTTTATAAACATCCTGACTGCACACTCCAGGATCATCTTCATCGGAAGAAAATGAAGATGAATGTTCCAAGCTTTTAAGTTTATCAACTTTTTCCGAAGGACTGTTAGCCCTAGTTTCCGTCACTAAAGGTGTGGGTGTTGTAGATGAAATTTTTGGAAATGGAGGGGGGCAAAATGTACGCATAATCTGGGTCGTTGGGCGTCTGGTCCTGTTAGGCATTCGGATGGCAAGAGTAGAAAACTGCTGTTTGGGGCCAGATTTCAGAAAATCCAAGAAAGAAGCGATAAATCCTGTTTTGACTTCTGGCTGTTTTTCCTCTACTTCTTTGATCTTCTGTCTCATTTTCTCTTGATGCTGATCATCATCATGGCAGCTTTCAGAGGGAGGAGGAGTATATGGTAGATACATATCTGTTCCCCTGGGATTCTGGCGTTTGCCCTGGGCAGGTCTTTTCAGCTGTTTCTGATTACTGATGTCTTCCTCTTTAATTTGCCCTTTCCCTTTCACCTTTTTCTTTGGAAGGTTAAGATGTATTAAATCTTGGTTTTCTTCAAGCTTGACACTGATTGTATCCCCAGGCTGGGCCACAGCCAACAGTGCAAGTACACTTCTAGTAGGGTCCATTGACACACTGCTTTCATCACCCCCTAAAGTAAATTCACTCTCTGACGTAGCACTCTCTCCACTCATGCTTCTACTACTGGAAACAAACTCTTGGTTTCTGTTATTATTTAATGTATGATCAACAGGAACTTCACTGTCTTCCTCAGATTCATGACTGGTAGCAGACTGCTTCTTGAATGGGCCACAACTTTGCTCCTGGACTTCATGATTTGGTCGAACTCCTGCTGAAGTTACTTTAGTTGGTAGACTTTGACCAGGTGTATCCATGTGCTGTTGATCAAGGGTCATTTTTGACTGAAGGGTTGGTACTGGTGAAATGTTTACAGTAACCTGATTTCCATCTAGGGGAATATCATTTAGATTCTGTGGTTTTCCTACTGTAGCTGTTATGGAATTAAAATCTGATGTCACATGCCTCATATCTAATGGCTGTGGAAAATGAGATTTAGAATCACCATCTTCAACAGTTTGCATGGTTTCATTTGGAGATGACTTGGAAAAATCAGAAGGTGTAACCCCACAAACTGCTGCTGTAGCTGCCAAGATGTCATCTACATTTGATAAAATATTTCGTTCATCACTGAGAAGCATTGCTTCTGGGAAACATATTGATCCAAGAGAAACAAACTGATTCTTTGAATCTTGTTGATCTGTTTGATTGAAATTGCCCTTCGTTGTCAAATGTTGTTGCAATGGTTTCGAAGATTCAGAGAGGTCCATTTTCATAATTTCAGAATTTTGAGGATGGAGTTGCTGCTGAGAATGATCACCATTGTTCTGAATAATATGACCATCCATTTGAAGGAAAGGATGTACAATTTGTTGAGGACTCTGGACACGCTGCACTTGTAAAGATGTCTTTACTTGTCCTAAACTTGCCTGCAGTATTGACTGCTGAAGAATCTGTAAATCACAGGTAGAATCTAAAAGGACCTGTGTATTATTAGTATGAGGGGCCTGATGTCCAGGCCCTAATGTATGATTTGGAATCTGAATCTGAGATGAGGCATTAATTACTTGATCATGCTGTTCCTGGACCTTGGCTTCATGTATTTTATGTATAAGAGGATGCTGTTGGTTTAAATCTTTAGTATTCAAACTTATTTGTGGACTTTGTATTAAATTAGTTGCCTTAAGATCAAGGGATGTTCCATTATTAGCTTGACCAATTTGTTGGCTAAGTTGTGTCACTGAACCGACTATGTTTTCTTCTTTCTTTGGCCCTGGTATAGGAATCCCAACAACTTGATCTTCAAGATGGGAATTACTTCTGATTACACTCTGGGAGTATCTGTCATCCGCCTTGGACACCTTGTAAGTTGATTCTGGAGCATTAATTTCCCCATCTGATAGCCTTTGGGCTGAAGATTCAAGAGATGCCTGTGATTGCAACGCCTGTAACTCCTGCATTGGAAAGTTACCTTCTTGCTTTGAAGATGTATACACATTTAAGCTGAGTTTTCCTTCAGCATAAGACTTTGAATCAGGGGAAGATATATTATTCTGTAATGCATGACAATGTGTAGAGGATGCAAAAGATGATGACTGGATAGCAGGCAAAAACTTCTGGGGCTGAGGAGATGATGACCCTTGAGTCTGGGCATTTTGGGAAGAATGCACAGAAATGTAATTCTGGCTTGGGTTAGAATCTGACAAATTCTGGGGCTGAGAGGCAGAAGAATAAGAAAGCGATGGGGCTGTTAATGTCAGGGACTGTCCCGAAGCATAGCTTTCTGAAGGACTACCAACTGACAAAACTTGTGATTGAGATGAAAAACTAACCTGTGTCTGGCTAACTGGTGATAAACCCTGAGAGTGACCAGATGAATAACTCTGAGACTCACTGACTGAAGAAAGATCTCTTGTTTGAGCAGGGTAATTTTCATTTGTAACTGAAGATAATACTTCTTGCTGAGTGGATGAGTAACTAAGTGTCTGATTTTCAGAAGTTATAGGCTGAGATGACCCAGAGAAAGTCAATGTTTTATACAAGGATGGCAATTTCTCAACCTTGCTGGGCCTATAAACTTGTGAATGAACAATAGATGGCACATTATATGGCTGTACTAAACCATAATTTTGTGACTGACTGACAGATAAAAGGCTTGGTAGCTGTGCTGTAGAATAGATTTGTGCTTGACCTGATATTACAGAACTCTGGTTATGTAAGGGTTTGGAATAGCTTAGTGTTTGCACAGCAGGAATTATATTATGAGGTTGTGGGGTCTTAGTTGACGTTAGTGCTTGTTTTGTAGAACAGCTGTTTACTTTTGTTGTAGCAGGAAGATACCCTGATGATGGAATTGCAGATGAGTAAGACTGAGCAACTTCCACAGAGACCTGTGGGGTCTTCTGCTGCAAACCTCCATTGCTTACCTGAGTAGAATCTCCTATTGGGCTACAAGGTAAAGACGACTGCCTGGTTGTTTCCTGAAAATTAACCACATTTGTATTTGCTAGATAACTATGTACGGAATGCTGTGAACCAGTCAGTTGTGCCTGAATAGACTGGGTACCTGAAGGCCGCTGATGGTGTTTAATAACACTACATTCTCGAAGAAGAGCTCTTTCAATGGAAGCAGAACTAGAGAAGAGAGTTGAACTGTAAGCTTGAGGAGTTTGCTGGGCACCCCCCAGTGCTGAAGGCAACAAACTAAACTGAGGTTGTAAAAGATGGGGTGCAGACTCTTGAGCTGAACGATATGTTGAAGACTGAGGTGGTACACTGTTACTTAATGCAGAACTGCCTAGGCGCTCAAATGCCAAAGCAGTTGGAATAGTTCCCTGGGAAGTCTTAATTTGTAGCAAAGGGTCATGAGGATTTAAAATTCCATTTGATGTAGTGTTAAAAGTTGAGTCTTGAAGCACCAAAGGTGAGGTGGTAACAAAGTTTCTATTGCTAAAGGTGGTAGGATGGTGGTAAGCAGAGAGGGCAGATGGTGGAAGAGCTCCAGTAGTTGGCAAAGGTCCAGTGACAAACTCAGTTGGTGCTGAGGAATGCATGCCTGTGAAGAGAAGGTGCAAAGATTTTAATGTAATTACCACATAAACGTATAAATGAATGTTTTCCTAGTAGTGACATATAGCCGTCAACCTGCCAAAATGTCTACAAGGCTAAAAAGCCTGAAAAATTAATTCTTCATGTAAAATTGAAAATAACATTTCAAAATACATAGCTTTCTTTCATATCTGTAATTGTAATAAATGACTCTGTAAAATGTTGGACGGGTCATATGAAAACAAAGAAAAAAGTAAAAATAAATGTAATAGCTAGTGATTAAGAATACTTTGTGTTGCCAGGCATGGTGGCTCACGCCTGTAATCCCAGCACTCGGGAGGCTGAGGCAGGAGGATTGCTGTGAATTCGAGACCAGAGACCA